AACGCCGTCCTTGGTGGTGCTCGAAGAACAATCTTCACGGATCAGCAGTTGATCGTCTGTCCCCTGCCGGCGTATTCCTCCAACACCTTGTTCTCTTCCTACGACATTTGTCTCACGTCTTTTATCTGCCACCATGGCCAAGGCTCTCTTCATCTTTGCGGTGCTCCTTCTGGCCGCCGCTGCCACCATCGATGCCGGCGTCTCTCCAGCTCCGGCCCCGGCTCCTAAGCCTGGTGTGGTTCTGCCCAAAGTTCCAGCAACGAAGTCCGCTCTCGTGAAGGTGCTCATATTGAACAAGAGCTCCAAGGACCTTGTCATCAAGGTGAAGGAGCTGGGACCCAAGGCGAAGGCCATCGTCGCCAAGGCGGACAAGTGGACCGGCGTGGGAGAGTTCAAGGTCAGTCTGACCTTGAACCACATCCTGCACTTGACCGTGAGCGTGAAGAACGAGAAGAACATGTTGGTTACGAAGGAGCTCGCACTGAACCTGTTCAACAGAGTCAAGCGCGACCTGGAAGGCAAGAAGTTCGTGGTTCTGAAGGCGGTGGAGGACAGGAAGAAGCTCGCTAACGGGAAGGTGAAGAAGTTCCTGAGTATCTGGCTGGACGCGAAGATTGTTCTCAGCATCAATTTGTCTGTGTAAGATTGGAATGGAAATGGTTGTCAAGACTGGTTAATTTTTATTTATTCGGGTGGTGTGCGGTGCTTGGATCGGCTCAACAACGCGAGACCAGTATTCGTCTTCATTGGACAACGTAGTTACGATCGCAATCACATGAACATGACAGGAAGTTCTTACGCCGGATATTTGACGTAGTTGGAGTTGAACGTAATTTATGATCCCGGCTTTTGAAGAACAGATTAGCATTGTTGGTTGCCACTTTCCTTGATTTATTTTTCTGAAATTCTTTTATTTTTTCGTACCAGATTAAAACAATGTGATTCGTTCTGGACGATAGTGTTAACAAAGACAGTTTGTCTGCCTGTAGTTCACAGGTTGATCGTTCTGTATGGTGTTTTACTTCAGCAATACAAGTTTGTCAAATTTGCCTTGACTTAGTAGAACTGGGCTTGGGTGATGAAGTCTTGGCTTTGGTTATCAGTTTGTCAAATATCAGTTTTGCATAGATAGAATTGCTATGGTTTGTAGATGTTTGCCAAGTATTTCAAATTCTCAAGCACGTATTGTTGGAGGGATTTAAAAACGACTTGTCCTTCCTCGTCTCTATCCAAAACTTCTGAACTGCAAATATTATCTTAGCACTCTTCGGATGTGAAGTAATTGTGTGCACGACCCTCCGGCCATTAGTGTACTCTTGGAAGCCCTCTCGCAGAAACATATCATACTGTCTGTGTATATCCCAGCAGAGGTCGGCATTGAATAGGAATACTCTTCACAAAACATTACAAAACACCAAAATCACATATGTTTGTAATGTGAATAGTTTGTGATGTCAGTGAATAAGAAAATCACAAAACTATTCACAAAACACCGAAATCACAGATCAAGTAGTGGTATACAACGCCCTTGTGTCTACAGTTCAAGCGCAGGACAAGTGAAGAAATCAACGAAGACTTAAATCCTCTGCCGTGTCTCAGCAATCGAGACATTACGATAGCATTGCCAGGTTAGTCCATCGACACTCTGTTGGTGAAATCCCTTCAACATGACGATTGCCAGCACAGAAAAAATTGGTGAGAATTTCGACCCCTGACCAAGCATTACACAACTCAGGTCCTAGTCTTGAATTGCGTTTAGTTAAAAGAGCCATGCTTACCAGTCCCTATACCGCCGTCGACAGATCGTCAGGCCTGGCAGAGCTGAAGCCCGAAAACAGTTATGTAGTATTCATGGCTATGACTTCTTTTCAAACCAGTGACAAAACGTTAGCAAAGCTTTCAACCAATTTGCGAGCTTGTAGAATGAACACTTAGTCGATAAATACATATATAATGCGGTTAATATATTTGAATAATACGTAAATTATGCGGTTCCGACCCGAACATCTATAGAGAAAAGTATTCTAGCGATTAAAGTCGAGTAAATGCGTCCTTTGTTGTGCCCATGGATTCTGCGCGGGAAAAAACATTCCACTGCCGTTTGGATGATATTCCACGTGGACATTCATCCATTCGGGCATGGGAATATATCCGAAGCCTTCCCTCCCTGCCCGCTCGGTCTGCACCCATTTCATCTGTCTGATTATTCTGCCCGCATTTCTGCTGCCCCATCGCCCTTAGATTATTTTCTTCTAAATTTTTGTGATTTATTTAAGATAAAAATAAATAAACGAGATAAATTCCATTCATATGGTACTAGAGGAATTATTCTAAGATTTTTCTCAAATAAATATTTATGAACCTAATACACATGATTTATTTTAAAACTATGAAAATAGGAGGAAACAATTTTGTTTTTAATTTTATTTCTCATGAGAACTATACTTTCAAAAATTAGACATATGCTAAGGAATTAAACTAAATCATTTTAAAATAAATTATGTATTTATATATATGCATACACGTGCATGTGTGCTCAAAATATAAATACAAGTAATTTTAAGCATGACTTTGTGTTTGAAATCTAAAGAAAAGTAAATAAAAATAAAATCAAAGTTGAAGTTAATGTTTTATAACGTTAAATCCAGGTACTTGTATCACGAAAAAAAAAACCTTAAGTTATACATTCATACCAAAATATATTTTTTATAATAATTATTCAATATAATAATATTGCAATAATACATATTGTCTTTGAAATTATTTGTAGAATTTCTATTTTATAGGATTTCAACAAAAACAGTTGCATTCCATGACTTTACTTTAACACGAAAAAAAATAATAAAAAATAAAAAATAAAAACCATACCATACCATAATAATATTATGAACAAGTTTTCAGATATGCATGGTTATTAAATTGTGTTGTTTAATATGTGTGTAACTTTGTAATTAACTACTATAATTATTAATATTGAGAAAATAGAAAAACAAAAAACCAATGGTATATTTGAAGATTTGGGTTATTAAAAAATGGTGTCATAAACAAAACATGTATTATGTGTGGTATAAATTCAATCTCATTTTTTAAGAAAAACATATAATCCTAAAAAAAAAATTAAACACAGAAATCAGTGCAGTAAATATATCATAATGAAAAGATGCATAATTGATTAGCAATTGAATGTTTAAATTATCAGCAACACAAAAATACAATCATAATATAGAATTATGCATTCACATTATAAATTTAGAGTTTAGCCGACATAAAATTAAATATTTTTATATATATTTTAACTAATTTATCAGCATCTTTGTCACAAGATCAAAGAGTACAAGTATATCTGCGTTGATAGTTCAAAAAATGATAAATTAATTGTGTTTATATATATATATATATAGACATATAAATATACAAAGAAACTGAAATTTAAACAACATGTATCTAAAATATACATACTAAACTAAGAATACTAAAGACTAGTGTACAGTAATAAAATAAATATATTAAATTTTCATAGAAGGTATCATACATTCATAAATAAACACTGAATCATGACCAAAAAAAGTGGAAACATTCAATTTCAATAACATGTGAAAAAAGTTAATAGAGATGCATTAAAACAATCTTATTAAAAAAATAAAAAGGAAAAAAATTTTACAAATAGAATTGAAGCATTGCAAGAATTGATATAGATTGAAATATCATAAAAATATTAAACCACCTTTAAAAACTATTATAACACCATGAATAAAAATATCTATCTATCTATAATAGAACATTGTCTATTTGTAATGGGAAAGCTAATCTATATATGTAATAAATTATAACATAATGGGTCATCCCAGGTATTGAGATAGTTCCTACAAAAAGAAAAAGGAAAAAAAAACAATATAAAAATAAATAAAAAAATAAAAAATAAAAACAACCATCTCTACCATAATATTAGGAAAAATATCGTGTTTGTTTCACTTGCACCATATATTAAACAAAAGATAAATTGATAGATATTGATAATTGATAGATTCAAAATTACAAACTCAATGTAATGTCTTTTCTTGATTTAAAAATAAAATTAAATAAAATGAAAACATAATTTTCTTTGAAGATAGATAGATGTATTAAGGATAAACATGCCATAGTAGTATAAAGTAAAAGACAAACATGTACCTATTAAACACAAGGTTATATATAAACTATCTAATTAATTTAAAGACCATGGTAATAAAAGTTCATTTAATTATTAAGTACTAAAATTAAAAGCATTTAAATCATAATATCTCCTTTATTAAATTATCAATTATATATTTTTTTATTTATTATACATATTTTTTTAGAAATTTAGTTTGTTATCATGGCTTTGATTTTTTGTAGTCCTAGTGCATATGATTCAAATTTCCTTATAACTAAGCAAGTCTAACTTTAAAAATACATGAGGCACAGAATTTATGACCAATGTCTAGAGAATCATATTTAGGACATTATTATAGTTAATTATTTTTTTATTCATGCATATTAAAACCGCAATGAAATTTTAAATTCAGAAAGACTTTGTGACCAATACAGAGAATAAATACGTGCATATATATATATATATATATATATATATATATACATAAATATATACACACAAATACACATATGTACATTCCATGTTTGTTTTGTTATAGAGAATAAGTTCATAAAACTAACTAGATATAACTAAAAATTTAAATGTAAATTAAAAACTTAATTTGCACGAGAGTGCCCTTTTTGAAAATAAAATGACCTCATTGACCATTAACCAAAATCTGTTAATTTAACTGCCATAGAATTCAAACCCTAAACCCTAAACCTTGAAGCCCGTGGATGGTGTTGACAGCCGCCTCGCCGACAGAGTATCACAAGGGGATAGTGCTTTCCTTAGGACCCCAGCAGGTTGGAACCCATCCTACACCCGACAACCGCGCGAGCAACCACGCTGCTAACTGGTCGGACCGTTAAGAACAGCAGCCGTTGGATGGCGCATCGGACGGTTAACGTAACTAAACGATTTCCTTGAAGAAGACGATCACGGCGTCTTTAACTCACCTCCCTGAATTTTGCTGCCACTCTTGCGAGAGTTTCCTCGTCCATAGTTGTGATTCTCTCTGCTGCATCGACCTTCTGCGATAATCTTCAGGTACGATTGGTCCGAAGATCATCTTTACATTTCACCTTTCTTCGCAGGGTTCTGTACAGTATTCATTGCATGAACATCTCCAAGTAAGAAGGGTTTTGCTGAATGCGTTGCTGCAGAACTTTTTCTGTTCAGTCGCATTGATCTTTGACGTACCTTTCTACGGACTTTGATTAACATTATAGGCCAGTGCAGTGTCTAGGCTCGAAACCCTGATTCTGCTCAATTCAACTGTGGAAATTTTGATATATGATTTTTATTGGTTATCTGTGTCTACTCTGAATTGAGGTGTACGAGGATTTGCGCAGGTGAGAGAAGATGGGGAAGGAGAAGGTGCACATCAACATCGTGGTGATCGGTCATGTGGACTCCGGGAAGTCGACGACAACGGGACACTTGATCTACAAGCTGGGAGGGATCGACAAGCGTGTGATCGAGCGTTTCGAGAAGGAGGCGGCGGAGATGAACAAGCGGTCGTTCAAGTACGCGTGGGTGCTGGACAAGCTGAAGGCGGAGCGCGAGCGGGGTATCACGATCGATATCGCGCTGTGGAAGTTCGAGACGGTGAAGTACTACTGCACTGTGATCGACGCGCCCGGGCATCGCGATTTCATCAAGAACATGATTACGGGAACGTCGCAGGCGGATTGCGCGGTGCTGATCATCGACTCGACGACGGGAGGTTTCGAGGCCGGTATCTCGAAGGATGGTCAGACTCGGGAGCACGCGTTGCTGGCGTTCACGCTGGGAGTGAAGCAGATGATCTGCTGCTGCAACAAGGTGAGTGGGTGGGAGCGGGGCGTTGGGTTAGGGGTTTGGAACGGGGGTGGCAGGGGAGTAGTAGTTGTGGAGGAGGAGGATTGACGGGGTGGTTGGGGCGGCAGATGGACGCGACGACGCCGAAGTACAGCAAGGCCCGATTTGATGAGATCAGCAAGGAGGTGTCGGCGTACCTGAAGAAGGTGGGGTACAACCCGGACAAGATTCCGTTCGTGCCGATTTCGGGGTTCGAGGGTGACAACATGATCGAGCGATCGACGAACTTGGAGTGGTACAAGGGGCCAACCCTGCTGGAGGCACTGGACAACGTGTCGGAGCCGAAGAGGCCATCGGACAAGCCGCTGCGGTTGCCGCTGCAGGACGTGTACAAGATTGGAGGTATTGGAACTGTGCCAGTGGGTCGTGTGGAGACAGGGGTGATCAGGCCGGGTATGTTGGTGTGCTTCGCACCGACTGGACTGACGACGGAGGTGAAGTCGGTGGAGATGCACCACGAGTCGATGCCGGAGGCGCACCCGGGTGACAACGTGGGGTTCAACGTGAAGAATGTGGCGGTGAAGGATCTGAAGAGAGGGTATGTGGCATCGGATTCGAAGAACGACCCCGCAAAGGAGGCAGCCAACTTCACTGCCCAGGTGATCATCATGAACCACCCGGGACAGATCGGGAACGGGTACGCGCCAGTGCTGGACTGCCACACATCCCACATTGCGGTGAAGTTTGCGGAGATATTGACGAAGGTGGACAGGCGATCGGGCAAGGAGCTGGAGAAGGAGCCGAAGTTTTTGAAGAACGGAGACGCAGGGTTCGTGAAGATGATTCCGACGAAGCCGATGACTGTGGAGACATTCGCTGAGTACCCACCACTGGGACGTTTCGCGGTGCGTGACATGAGGCAGACGGTGGCAGTGGGAGTGATCAAGGCCGTGGAGAAGAAGGAACCAACCGGTGCCAAGGTGACGAAGGCCGCTGCGAAGAAGAAGTGAATGAGAGGGGGGATGTGGGAAGGTGGGGGTTATGGGGGTGGTGTAGAAGTGAGGGGCATATGTTTTTGTTCGGTGCGCTGGGCGGAAGCGCGGCAGAGGCAGAGTTGGGTACTAGATAGGAGATGGCGAGGGCGAGATGTAGGAAGGCGAGTGACGCAATTGTAATAAAGATTGTGATGATTTGGTGGCAAAGGTGTGCGAAGGGTGACGGGGAATGGGGGGATGTGTGTGGGTGTTGGGGACGTGGGTCGGGGTGGGTTAAGAGGGTATGAATGGGCGTTGGGTATGTGTGTGCGCGCCGGAGGTGGCGATTGTTTGCAGATTCGGCCTCAAGATTGTGGTGGTCGACTTGCCCGGGTTGACAGTCTGGCAGGTGATTTTGTCATACGTTGTGATCGGATAGGATGTTATTGCTCTCTCACTTCCGTTCAGTAGGGTTCGATTGTGTAATGCCCTTGTGAGTTTGTCTTAGCTGTCTGGAGTATGTCTGGCTTGTGTTGCTGCAAAACGTTTCTGTGGTATCTATGATGCATTCGTAGTAGTCGTGCAGGAATTGATGCATCTGCTGAGTAATATAATAGTGGTGGGGTGGTCTTCATTTGTTCAATGTGTATAATGTTAATTTTTGATGTAATGTTTCATGATGTTATTACTGTCTCTGGGACAATTGTTGAGATTTTGATTCATTTCTAAATTTGAATTGTATATTTCAATGTCGATGGGGAAATTGATAAGTTGTTTATGGAAAATGCGCATGTGGAATTTTTGTGAAGGATTCTGCGTCTTCATTTATCAGTCCTTTTGAAGGTGAAGTAGTTGTCTTAAAAGGCCTTTAAGAGCTTATTACATGAGCGCGCTGCTTGTTTTTTTTTATTTTTATTTTTTTATTGTATTATAAGGTTTTGACTTATCAACTAAATTTGATTTCTTTATATAATGATTCAATTCACTCCTTTCATCTAAAATATTGTCGAAGTAGTAATGTTGAAATTGTTATACTGAAGTGATATTATTTAAATATCATTACTTTAATGAACACCATTTTATTAATTAAATTTAAAATAACAATAAATTAAAAACACTATTTGTAGTTTTTGTATTACTTACTGTGATTGTAAGAAAAACGTTTGTTGTGCACCTTATCATTGTCTGCAAAGGATTAAATAAAAAAAAATTAGAAACCATTTCTGTAAGAATAAATAAACTTAGAACATATCAGCAAAGAAGATGTAGGATTCAAAGGATTTTAAAAAAATATTAAATTTAAAAATGTCTTCAGATCAATCAATAATTTTGAACATTGGTTTAAAAATATATAAATGCAATTTTAGTATGTTAGTTAAGATCAAAATGAGGATTTGTGGGATCTAGAGAGAGTTACAAATACAAATGTTAAGTTGGATTAAATTTCGTGTTTGAATTTAGTAAAGGCTCTGAAACTTATAGAAATATGAGTGCTAAGAGCACACATAAGAGGATTTGAATAAGTTGAATTAGTTTTTTGAAGATTTTTTCATGTCATTTTTTATTTTTTTATATAATAAAAAACTATCAATCAAAGCAATTTTAAATGTTGGTTATATTATTCCAGTTACCTTTGAATATATATTGGTTGGAACTAATAATTGTGTATTAATTGAAGAGACTCTTCTTTGCATTACCGAAAGACACACCTAAAAATACAAAGATATTGAGAAGTTTTTGGATGTGTACAATAGAGTTAATCATTAATGTGCCAACCTTCTTGTTCATTTAGACATATTTTTTGGTTATAGAGGTCAAAATAATGATATTGGTTGATAGTATTGCTGATTAATTAGTAAATAATCTAGTTTACTTATATTCCAATGACTTGTTATCAAGACTACTTTGATACTATTTTAGTATTAATATAGAAAGATGTAATGGTAAGTATAGTATCTTGTTTAACATGTAATATGTTCTTATTTTATATCATTTACATATTAAGTTTAGAATTCATTTTTTTATTGAAGTATGACCAAAATAATTTTAATAGACCATCTTGCAATGCCATTTCAAACCTTATTTAGTTTAGTTATATGTATAATCTTAGTATGGTGAAAAGACTATTAAGAAACATTACGTATACATGAGACTTTGTCACATACATCAATATTCCATTAATCTAAATATTTTATTTAAATTTTATCTTAGTATCATTTATCTTCAACTAAAATTGTTTTATTAGGCTTGTTTTATGTACCAAGAATATAAGAATTTATTTATTCTTGACAAAATTTATAAAACCAAAATTCTTAGCCAAAATTAATTTAATTTTTCTATATAGATTGTAATGTTAAAAGCCCATATTTATAATAGATAACACTTTATAGGAAACCAAAAAAAATATTGAATGGAGGAGTTTTAACAAGAAAGCTAATAAAAACTTGATTAAATCATATGAGTACAAGATCAACATCAAGGAAGGTGAGCTAGAACTCCAAGAGATGTGTTGTTGAGACTAAAGATCCCCTTAGCCTTAACTCAAATATATACTAGGTATTAAGAGGCTTTTTAAGAAGTTTCCATCTTGCTTGAAGATGAAGCAATCTTAAGAAGCTTCTTGAAAAGTTTCCATATTGCTTGAAGATGAAGTAACCTTAAGAAGCTTCTTAAGAAGTTCTTCTGTTGCTTGAAGATGAAGCAATCCTAAGAAGTTTTTTGGATAACTTTCTTAATCTTCTTAGAATTTTTTAGAATTTGTTAGAATATTTTAAGGACCTTTTAGAACCTTCTAGAAACCTTTCTAAAATCTATTGGGACTTTTAAGAATCTAATAAAATATTCTAAGAATATTTCTAAATCTTCTTATTAGATGTCTATAACATCACCTTCTTTTCTAACTTCGAGTTCTATAAAGAATATCGATTTCATATCTACTTTCTTTGTTATATACAACATTTTATTAGTAACTTCATAGAAAAGTCATCCTAAAATAGATTTAGGTTTTTGAAGATAGCATCAATAAAATTCTTGTACTTTTTACGGTGCATTCACTAGATTTTTTTTTTGCTTCTCACATATGCTCATTGATATCATAGTCATGCCAATGAATAAAATATTCCAACTTACCTCTTCTTTATTAAGAATCAAGAATCTTTTCTACATTATATTCTATATAATTATCGATTTTAAAGCAAGGCAGTGATAGTTGTATTCTTCATTGAATTGTTGATTTTGAATAAGTTTCTAAGAGAGAAATATGAAAGATTCGATGTATCTTCATAGATGTGGGTAATTCCAATCAATAAGCTACTAGATTAATTTACTTTTAAATACAAAATGGTCCTAGTCTTTAGTAGTCCAACTTATTGTAAAGCCAATTGATCTTAATAATTTATCAAAGAAGCCATAATTTATGTCCAACTTGAAAAGAAAGAATTTTTTTTCTAAATTCATCTAAAAGTACTTTGTAAGAATCTTGAGATATTTATAAATGGAGCTTCAAAGTTGTGTGGAGTTGAATTGTGACAATTGTTTTGCAAGATCTTTAGTTGATGGATTTTCATTCTTTGATATACCTAACAAATTATGCTTTGGATGGTAACATAATTAAAGTAAAATTGTATTTGTTAAATCAAAGCATGAAGAATATTATTATGAGTGAATTTTGCTAAAGATAAATATGATGTTTAATCATCTTATTGATATTTGATGATACATCACAAATATTGTTCCAAAACTTGATTGATTTGTTTTATTTGACCATCTATTTAAAAGTGGAAGGCAAAAAAAAGTTTGATATCTACCTTCAAGATTTCAAAAAAGGATTTCCAAAACTTTGATATAAATTGAGGTCATTGATTAATAATGATGCCATTATGTAGGCCATAATGTTGATATATATTATTAAAAAAGAACCTTATTGTTTTGCCTTCAAAAATTATCTTTTTATATGAGACAAAATATGCTATCTTTATAAGTTAATATCATGGACATATACATTTATCCAAATAGTTACTTATATGACTAAGTTGAAGTAGGTGAATATAAATTAATTTTATAAAGTCTTCTACAAAAGCTTCCTAGAAGCTTCATAAATATAGTTTTGACTTTATATGTATTTGTAGGTTAGAAACTTGGTCAACAAATTAACCACGTGTTGGTAGCTTGTGGAAAAAGTTAATTCTAAGTAGTAGCTTATGGAACAAGCTAAATATGTGGAACATACAGAGATAACTTGCCTTGTAAATTAAGACATATAGCTAGCAAAGTCAATACATGTTGGAAGTCCTATAGAATATCGCCATTTAGCTCCTAGTTAGAGAGTATATATGGAGGCAAGAAAGAAGCCTTCTTCACTCTTATTAATGCCTTTTTAGTCCTTAGTCTTATTTCAAGACTTTCTAGTCTTTTTCTTTTTAGTAATAGCCATTCTAGTTCAATATTATATCATCTTTGAGTGACTTTCTAGTTCCTTTCAGTGACATAAGAGTGTATTGAGGATTTTCTTTCTCCAAGATTTATGTCCTTGACAGTTTGTTAAGAGCGCTAACTTACTACATTTATCTTGTTTTAAAAGCGAGTGGATTATTCCACTTTAATTGTTGTATTTTGAAGGTTGCAGACTATCCACTTTTAAACAAAAAATCTTATTTTCTAACACTGATCTTTTCTTTAAAGAAAGTAGATTATCCCTCTTTGTAGAAATTTTTATTAGAAGTTGTGGATTATCTTCTTCTAATTAATTTTTTGAATTTTTATGAATTATCCATGGAAGAAAAATTATGGATACTACTCTCAATAAAAGTGAGAATAAACTTGCAAATATTGTAGATCTTTATGAGCTTGTCAACACTCTAAGAGTGAAAATTTCACTTATCTCTAATGTGAATTATGGAGGTACTATGCCTATGCCTATAGAAGAAGTTCAAAGTCTATAACAAAAAATTCTCTAATTGAAGGAAGCAAGTAGATTGATCTCACAACCATATCCAAGGAGTTTTGTTTCTATAAGTATGACAAGGACAAGGATTAATATGCCTAAGAAGTTTGATGGAACAAGATCAAAATTTTAAAGATTTTTACAACAAGTTAAGCTCTATCTAAGGTTGCATCTTTTCTAATATTCTAATGGATTTACTCAAGTTGGATTCATAGGCGCACTTCTACCAAAAAGTGCTCTCTTTTGGTTTACACCTTTAATGGAAAAAGATTTGCGACTCCTTTAT